TAGCCAGGTTGAAGCTGACATGAACGGCAAGGATCCTAATGTGAGTTCACTGAAATGACAGGCTGTGTTGACTACTGTGCGAATGTCCGTGCTTCGTGGCAGGCATACAATAACAGGTATTGGAGGAAACGCGCCTTTTAAATGTGTTGATAGGGAGTTGCCTTATATTTTAGTAATGTTATCAGACCTGTTGTTGATTTTTATTACTTATTTTAGGGATATTGACAGCTTCTAGATCATTACAGGAACTAATTTTGCTTCCTGTCGGAGGATACTCTTTTAGTTTTGCATTATATACAAAATCTTACGCTTACCAATTACGTCAATATCATTACTAGCTGGCAACTCGATGTCAGCTTCTGTTTTCAACCATTGTCATTTGATCGAATTTCAGAGGCAGAAAATGAAATGAAATGGCCTTAATATTATGTTCGTTTCCAATAGTGCTAAGAATATTGAAATCCTCCGATCCAGATTCCCCAAATATATAATGTAATATTCATAATGCTCTATAATTAAAAAAAAAATATCTGGAACCTTTGCATTATTGTCATTAACTGATAAATTAATGCAATAAATGTCAACTATAAACTAGTTAAGAATTTATAATTGTTGCACAATTCTAACCTGCACTATTTTTGTTTGTGATATCAGATAATATTGGGTAAACATTGTGGGCGATTCTTTAAAGGGAAGCTGAAGCGGTCTTAAATATGAGAAAAAACACCTGAGCCCAGTTAATGAAACCTCAGCCATCACAAATATCGTATTCGTTTGGTCGTTTTCTGCGCGGATTAACCGGAAAAGCGCCTTCACAGTAGCGCCGAAGCCACGCCTCTCTGAAGCAGAGAGAAAGGGGAGAGAGGAGGAAGCCCGTCGGCCGGCGTCACAAAAGGACCGCCTGGGGGACCCCGCCGCGGATGGCCGCGCTTTCCTCGTAGGCTGCTCTAGTGCCTTTTCGAGCCGTTGTCCTTCTGCCGTTGCATAGCGCTTGCTTTTGTCCCTTGACCGGTCATGCTATTGACTCAATCGCCTGACGTGTTGATTGTTCTCTTGTTTGTTCACGTGTTTGCAGAATTCTCGTGGCAACGAATTAACTGACTCGTGCTTTTGCACGATGCCGTACTCATGTGTAGCCGCCAGCTTTCACGAACAGCGCTCGTCGCAGTTGCTCTTCCCGCTTACCGTCTTTTCAACTTTGTCACCGAGATTTTAATGGGGTGGGTGGGTTTGAGCAAGTACACCGTTTTTTGTTCGAAACGTGTTTCAGACGGCCCGTATGAAAACTATGTACGTATGGGTTTTCGTCTGAAGAAGGCTCGCCTGAACCCGACGCTCTGCCGACCATCCTTGAAGGTAATAAGGCAATTCCGCGGATTAAAAGTCACAAGCACAGAGGAAACGTGACTAGGTAGGAATTGTAAGTCGACTGTTTTATAAAAAATATATTAAGTTATTAGAATTGTGCAGTGTGCTAGAAAAGCCGCGATCATTTAGCCAAATAGCGGGTTTCTACTGGCTTTCTTGTGTTAACCGCTTTATATAAGTGTTTTAGTGTTGGTTTCTTATATTGTTGAAGTGACCATATTTTCCGGACCGACTCCGGTCCGGGAAATCTGGGAAACAAAAGGAAATATTGGGTAGCCCAAGGTTACTTTATTTTGCTTTTAATCTACTCGGCTATTTAGTCACTTGGAAGGGGAGGAGGGCTTGCTGTAATAAGTGGTCATGCAATTCATAATGCGACTTTCACGGGGCAACTTGTTTTAGCATAAACTTTTTTTTTACAGTTGCTGACATTATTTGAGGTCTCATATTTTTTAAACGTAAACATAAATTTTGTTAAATTTTCCTTCCTGAGCTTCATATTCTGTTCAGGAGAGCTTTGCGGAAATAAAAAGCATGTGACCTTTTGTTCTGAATTGAGGTTTATTTTTACAAGTTACGCGATGTTTTTCGTATAAAGTTTGTATAATGCAACAATTCTTTGTGCCGTAGAAATGCGATCGGACGATGATAATGCTTGGTGGTGGTGTGATGTAGTCAAGAAATCTTGGTAGAAGTATGCGAATGTAGAGGCCCAGGAAGCTTTCACGATTCGACATCAAATTAAGGGCTGCTGGGCACACATCTCCGCTTTTTCTACGTAATAGTCTGCGCAGTTACTCGCATAGTGCGCAAGGACATGCCGGTGGCAGAACGGCCACCCTATCTTATCACCCGTCTCATCTCAGGGGAAGCTCTCCCGTCGCCCGAAGCCGATTATACTATCCCTTCAAACCACTTCAGCCTTGATGAAAAATGAAGCCTGCACGCTCACGCGTTCAGCGGCTGGCAAGCACGAAGGCCGATGTGTGGAGAAATCTTGTCCTTTGACGACCGTTTTGGGGAGGGTCACGCTAATCCGGCTTGAGGCTCGTAAAGTATTTGAGGCGTCCCGTCAATAGCACTCCGTTTATTGTCAACGTTTTAGGTTGCAATAAGTAGCAGTCAGTACGGTCCTGGAGGTATGAAGCCTGCCATGTCGCGTCCGCGCAAGCGGTTCCTCGTGTTTGCGTTTATTACAGCGGGGGTCATTTTCCTACTTTTCCAACGGCTGGAACGCGTACTTTGTTACGTCGAGGGTCGTCTGGACACATTCGTCTTTCGGATCCACCCAAAGATTTCGAAAAATCAGAAGCCGAACCCGATTTACAAGAGCAGAAGACCCGGCGGGCGGCAACTTCCGCAAGCGACGGAGCAAACGAGAATCGAGATGGTCCTTTTATGACGTAGTGGCGCGTCACGGGTGGCTAGCCAATGGCGTGCCGCTGCGGCGATCGCTTCTGGTTTCTTCGCTTTTTTTCGCGTTTGGGGATTATTTTGGGTCAAACGGTTGTGATATTTGGACTCAGCAGGCACAAACACGTCAGAATCAACCATTAACTCATTTTTTTCGAAAAGCTCTTCAGCTTCCCTTTAACGCCCCTACTTCAGGTAAACACGATACGCGCCCTCGGTTGACGGTTTATTAACGCAACATAATGTTTGCGCGGCAAGCCTCACGTCGATGACCAGGCAGTCGGCTGGCGGCGCGCAAACGTCGTCATGGGTCGGCTTCCTGTTGATCTGGCAGCGCACAATCGTCGTCCATGGGAGGCTGCAGTTCCGCGCAAGTGGCCGCCTCGGTTTGGCGGCTAGCTGTCGTCTAGTTGAAGGGGGGGGAGGGGGGGGGGGGCGCAGCTTTGGGCAGGTCGCCGACTGGCGTCGGCAATCGAAGCACCGCGGTCAAGTAGCCAGTCAGCTGTTCTCCATGGGGGCCTCAGCCCGGGCAGGTCGCCGGCTTGCGGCGGCAATCAAAGCCTCGCGGCCAAGAGCCAGGCAGCCGTTGTCGCTCTTACCGTGCAGCCGAAAGCCCTAACTGTCGACTCCCTATCCGTTTTGTGAATTGTCCTCCTCCGGCAGCAACACCGCTTTGGTGTTATCGGCTTGTTTCGCGATTATTTCCGGTGTTATTTTTGGGTTGGGTTTGCCCTTGTCCGTATAGACTCGTAATTAAAAACATCGTTGAATTTTGAGGCGCAACGAACTCCAAGAACTCTGTGATAATATATGCTATGTCGTTGATAATAAGAGTACAATTATGAAGTCGTCTTTATACTTATAATTGATCTTCAGGCTTTTAATGCAGATGGTATTGTAAATTAGAATTTTCGTACACACTAACATTAGCGCAGAGGCTCCTTCAGTGTACATTAAGATGTGAGTGATATGAGTAGAAACGTAACTGTAAGCTACACTTATATGTGCTAATATTTATGTTTCTATTTCGAAATTTGGAGCTGTGAAAATGATCAAGCGCACACTTTGAAAAGCCTTACTTTTTTCTTGCATTTCCTCTTTATGTAGCATTTTTGGCCTAGTAATACGGCATCGAGACTGCTAAGGGCCAATTTTATGTCACAGATATTGATTTAGTTGATATTTGAAGTATTTGCCTCGACAAGTAAAGGATTTCAAGTTTAGTTATGTAAAATAATATTACACTTCAATTTCGTTTCGTTGTTTGTTGCTTACAAACTAGATCCATTGGACCTCCTAAGAAAAAAAAAAAAAAACCTAGCGACGCCCAGATATGTTGTTGGCTTTGTCTGGAGACGATAAGTTGAACTAGGGCTTGAAGGACCGGGAGTCATATTAGGCAAAACTTATGTAGTAAGTCAACGGACCCATTTCGGCGCCTTCATTGACGCGCTTTCATGGGTGTCACATGATCTGGTTTACAGTGACAGAGAAAGAAGGCATGCCAGGTGCCTCAGTGATAAACGTGATAGCCTTTAGGTGACTCCCAGAGTTGCCTTCCCGATAAGCGTATGGAAATCTGGGAGCTTTCCGGAATACGTGACCGGGAGTGCGGCACAACTTGGTATCACCATGTCCCTTACCATCTTCTGGGAGATTCTTCAATGCATCTCGCCATGGAATTTATTTTTTAGTACATCGTACAATATCATTTGACAAGGCGTTAACTCTATTTAGCGGGTACTAGCGTTGACGGCTTATCCGTCATTTTCATGGCTAGGCTCAAGCAGAGAGCATTTTGGTTTCGCACTCCTGTCCGCACACTTTTTTCAAAACTAGATGAGCTTTCATTTGGGTTTTTTGTTCAATACTTACGTTGTTCATCGTTTTGCATAGTTTTGGTACTTACCTACCGTGTAAAAATAACAGTGATTACGAAAGCATAAATTCAGGCAAGTTTGATATATGTTATCGAAACATTATGTTTTTTTGCTGCTTTATACATTTTTCCAGAGGTTGCAATTATTCCTCCTTGTAAAGGAAGCAAATTTTCGAAGAGCTTAGCCATAAAAAAGCAATCTTTGCGAACATGACGTGCATACAACAAATGATGTCTGACTAGCCAAAATCGCTGTTCATTTTTTTGTAAGCCTGAACCTGCCTTAAGTGGTGACAAAAATAAAGTAAAATATCCTAATGACGATAAAAGATGAAAGCGTAAAGGGAAGTAGGTACTTTGTTTATTTTCTGATGCGGAGACAGACGGAAAATATTCAAAAAAGAGTCTTCAAATTTTTTTAACTACTACTTACTGTTGTGTACATAAATACACGCTTGTTATTTCTGTGTATAAAAGCCTCTGAAACCGTACCGAAAGAATCACAGATGCTGAGAATCTCATAAATGTTATTAATATTGTTTGAAAATTTGAGCACATCAGATGTTCTCGTGCACGAAACAAGTGATTAATAAATACAAGGCTTATATACTTTCTCTTCATTATGCGACAACGAACACGTTCATTTTGTGCTGTTGTTTTTGCTCCATTAGCTGTCACATGAACTCAAAACTTCCCAGAATTGCTTCCTTCTTGCTCCTTGGTGTCGTTCCTGTCGCAAGAAAAAGAACAAAGTATGGGGAATCTGGACTTCTCTTGGTGAAGTGGAACTAGAAAATTCTTTCAAGAATGCTAAGAAACAGAAAGTAACACTGGAAGATAAAAATACAAATATATATTTAGCCCCCTTTAGTATACACGTTTTCTGCCTGGACTTAGAAACTTTACATGTTGATCAACTTGCCTTTGTTTTAACGTGACCAAAATAATTGTTGTATATAGTAAAGCAAAAAAATTAAAACAAAATTCGCATTTTATAGAATATCTTTAATACATCATGTTTCTTATATAATCGAAAAACAGAACAGCTGAAACAAATTAAGATAGAAAACACAATGTTGTTTACCTCTACTTCCTTCAGAATTGTGGACAATTTTGCAAAAAATAAGAAGTAGAGATTGTAGTTTTTTATTTAATTATCTGATAATTATTTTGGGCAGCGTTAAAAAACGGTACTCTGAGTTATATAAAACCTTAACTTTCCAAAAGAAATAAAATATAAATTAAGCCCTACTGAAATTACGTATACCAAGTTATTCCTAGTCTTTTCCATGTCTAAAAACGAAATAAATTACTTCTTTCGCCTGTATTTAATCAATAAATTTGTTGTGTGTTTCTTGATTACATATATTTGTTAAAAGCAGTACGGAGCGCTTGAAAAAATAAAACAAATACTGGAGCTGGGTTGAATTTGCTTTCTTTTTTCACAAACGAAAACCTTGATCCGCCATGTCTTTGCCTTTTAGGCAGTCTTTTTTAAGTGTGATTACCGAGACAATGCCGCTATTTTTCCTGTAATGTTTGTCGGTTTTGTAAAAATAGAAAACACTGCACAGATTTGGTCTTCGCACGAAAACATTCTGGGGCCCGTCCTTCGCTGAACGCACTCTGCAGGTAAACGTGGGTTTATTTTGCGGCGAAGAAGATTCACCAGCATTTTTAGATGTAATACGCTATTGATTGTTTGTGAGCACAAGGTAACAGAACGTCCTCATTGAAGATAATTTTTTTTAAATTTATATAGTGAAGAGTTGTCTCTAAATGAAGTATAAAAGGGCGATTAAGTTCCGTAGTATGATAGTGGCTCTTTTCATCGACTCTAGAGTGCACTGTCCTTCAACCAAAGAGCAAAATTCCTCTTCCATCTTCGTAACCGTAAAATACAGGCGATGTATCCCATACCATAGATCTTCTAAACTGTCCGGTATTTCCAGAACATTCAGGTCGTCATACTGGTCTTAACACACTGGTTCGTTAAAGAAGGAAATGGATTCATTTATTTTTTAGAAAAAGCGGGGTTTCCCTTAGGACGTACCATCTACTGCCTAATGACGCAGTTTCCCAGATACACGTTCGTAGTGTTTCTTCTTTTGCCGTGCATAACGTTTTGACTTGTGGAGACGAGTGCACGATTTGTATGTTGGCGACGACTCAGTTCGAACGTCGCAACAGGTAATATCATCAAAACTTTTGTATTTCTCGCTACACGCACACGTTTGCCATAAAATAGAAAGTTATAATTTTCGTACCTTGAAGTACTCGTCGCGACGACCTGTCTACGTCACCCGAAACTCGCTATTGAAATTGAAACCACCGACTAGGTGGCTCAAGCTGATTCCCGATTAAGTGGATTCTGATGTTTCAGTTCAATCATTCGTTCGCCCAGTATGACAATAAGACGTCCTAAAGCGCGTGTTGCTGTTCTAATTTAATGGTTCATGTAAGACTAACTTGATATTTTTTTCTCAATATTTATGAGTAATTGAATATCTAGCAATCCATATGTTCGAAGTATTTCTAGAGAAAGATCCTAATACACACGGTATTTAATTTTCATTCGAAGAAATTAAAAAAAAGACGGTGTAAAATCTAGACCAGTGCTTCACCATGTTTTTTGCCAAACTCGGCGCACTAGAGATGCGGTAACAATCGTCATGGTAAGTTAACTATTAACGAAAATCAATTAACTTTCAAAATATTGGTTTTATGGGTCATGTTGAAATTACGTCATTTCCGGTAATTAGAATTAGAAGACACAGGAATAAAAAAAAATTGCAAAATTAATGCTTTCTGAAATATTAATTGCTACATGATAACATTTTTCGTAGCCCGATTTAAATATTGCGCGTAAAAAGCGCGCCTCAAGTTCTGCCCGCAATAACGCTTAAAAAGTGACGTATCCGTTTCAGTCACATTGTCAGTCATGACGTCTGCGCACGAACGTTGAAAGATTAGTTCATTTCTGGAACTCCCGCGGAGGGGGCTTCCTCACCTACATCGGTCCGCCTCCTGCCGTTTTGAAACGCCATCCAGGTTTACGTTTCAAAAATGGCAAATTCCATGGAGTATGCTGAAATGCCATATAGACGCTATGCTTCAAAACATATGTATTGCATAGAATGGGCTGCTGTTACTATAGTTGCCGTCCTCAAAACGGTGGGGCGTCGAACAACGAGAGGCGAGCCGTGGGGCGAGAACTCCTCGTGGAAGCCGCGTCTATGGGCAGTTTCGTAACTGAGATAATCGAGTAACGTTGCTGCCTAACCACCAAGGACACACCGCCGAGGTTATGACGACATGATTGAAACGACCACGCAACTGATCTAAGAGTCCTTGTGGGTAGGGCTTCCGGCGCGCAATTTTTAAATCCTCTTAAAAAGTATCAAAATCTATCATCGTAATTAGCAAACTAATACAGTTACTCGCATTCTTTTAATTGATTTTTCATGTCATTGTAATTGCCATCAATACTGCAATTTTAATAGAGCCATTATAAACGATAATTAAAAATGTAATTACCGTTTTTTTAGTTAATGTGTCTACGTTTTATGAAGGGTAATTCCTTATTTAATGTATCCGGAGCTCTATATATGCGTGGTGAAAGCAGCACTCGTCTAAATTTCGTTCCCTCTGCAGAAGCAATAGGTTCGAAATAAAAGCAAACCCCCTATATTACCTGTACAATCACCTAAAAATTAAACATAAAATTCTCGTTTTTTTAGTTTTGTTCGATTTTATGAAAAGCGACTCGTGATACACGTGATCAAGGTTGTCCTACTTCCCCTCACTCTGTTGTTGACGCCCATTATCAATTCGGCTGGTGTCCGCCTACGGTAACCTTGGCTCTGAACGCGACCGCTGCCAAACCTCCGTTGCGCTTGGGCTAGAGTGCATTCCAGGCCCACTCTTCAAAGACACTTTAAGCTGAGAATCGGAATCAGAGTTGGTGGCTTTACTGGCGATTGCAGTGAATATATAATACCAGGCATCAATGGGCTTAAAAAAACGTTGATAATCATCTTGAAGCCCCAAATTGATATTGCGGACAGGCTTGAACTCGCATTCAGTCAGTCAGAGCACGAGTCCAAGCAGAACGCTGGCACAGGGCTAGCGTCGAATATGAAATCTGCGCGGGTCCTCAGTTTTTGATGTAGACAAAAAAGCCCTACTGATTTCTATGTATGTGGTGTTGCCTGATCTCCACGGTAGATGTTCAATAAAAAGGTCGAGACAGAAAAAGAAAAAGGACAATTAATAAGAGGGGAAAACGACAAGGAAACTAATTGAAGGCAGATTGGGATAAAGAACTGGAGCAAGGACATCAACTGCTTCGCTGTAATTTTTTTGAGCACAATTTTAGGAGCCCGATTTTCTTTTAGTATTTTCCCACAACAAAACACTTGAGGAGGTGGCGAAATAGCAAAACTTATGCAAAGTATTTAGCTTTTGAAAGAGTTGTCAGTGTAAACTTACACTTTCTTCGACGAAGGAGAATGGCGTACTCCACAGGATCGCCGAGACCATAGCCGTAGTTGAGCCCGTAGGCGCCCAAGCCATGCCCATACCCGTAGTTTCCGGTCCCGTAGCCGAGAGATCCCACGCCGTAAGAGTAAACTGGAGCCACGTGTGTTTCAGTTGTGAAGACAGGGGAGACATGAGTAACTGCAGCTGCTGTAGGAGCGGCGTGAAAAGTGACCGCTGATGGGGAGGCGTGGTAGTTGGCTACAGCATGAGCGGCGTCGAACGTCGTAACTTCAGTGGCCACGTGAACTGGTTTGACATCAGGGGCCGCTGCTAGAACCGGAGCAGAATGCTCGACCTCGGTGACCTCTGTAGCGGTCGTGACTGCTGCCACTGGAACAGAGTGGTGCGCATGGGTGACTTCTTCTGTGGTGGTGACGGTGGCAACTGGAGCTGGGGGATGGACATGGGTGACCTCTTCCGTGGTAGTGACTGAGCCTACCGGAGCCGTGTGCTCGACCTCGGTGACAGAGGCGACAGTGGCAGCCGCCGGAGCGCTCTTGTAAGAGGCGGAGACTGTGCTAGTGACGCTTGGAACTCCAGGAGAGAGGCTCGTGGTCGTAGTCTCAGAATAGTAATCTTCTTCGTCAACGTACGTGACTCCGAGTCCACGCCCATCATTTCCCCGGAGTAAGCCAGCAAAGGTAGGGCTGGTAAGGGCCAGGATTAGAAAAAAACGGAACTGCGACGTAAGAGTAAAAATTAGTGCTTTTTACACGCACAGACCTAAAGTTTATAGCATTTGATTGGTGTAATAAGTGTGGCCTGTCCGTATAGTAAATAAATAAACACGTCGTGGCGCAAACGTACAACACGCTCGAATTGACCAGAGAATTAGACAAAGCATAATAATTTAGAGTATGAAAGTGAAGTAACGAAGACAATTTTTTTTTCAAAATGTAATGACGATGGCTTTATTTCTTAGAAACATATCAAAGCACATACATGATTTATTTAAATGTTTAATATATGTTTTATGCAAAACTCATCAAACCTACCAACTGCGCTCTAAGCCGTTCTCGTAATTTTTTAGGCCTGCTTCTTCGCAACACACGCATTGCGCAAGTCACCGCAATCTTGAAAAGGAAACAAACGAGCCCTTTTATCAAAATTTTATTAGGTTTATAAATATGGTCTCCGCTATATTTGTGAGGGCGCAAATACAGTCAAACCCGTTTATAACAAACAGCAGGAAACGCCACGATCAGTTCGATATAGCAAGTAATTCGATATAGCAAAAACTGTTTATGATGAACTTCCACGATGCGTTCGTTGTAAGGCGAGAACTTCTTTTTCTTTCTCATCTCTTCGCTTCCGCCTTGTAAAAACCGGCTGGAAAGTATATATATATATATATATATATATATATATATATATATATATATATATATATATATATATATATATATATATATATATATATATATTTCTTTTTTGCATACGTGTAGAGTTTGTGTCTTTAGCGTATCTACCCTTCTAAATCGCTTCTTTTCGTGGGCAACGGTTTTGGGGTGAAATTATTTTTTTTTTTTTGCTGTGCGCGCGTGCAGAGACTATTTTTCTAGCTTTCTCCCCCTTCTGATTCGCTTCTCTTCGCTCAATTTTTTTCGCAACTTGAACCCTTAGAATTTTCTTTCTTTCCTACTTTTTTTTTTCTCAAAGGAACAGGCTAGAAGACGAACATTTGCGCGTTTTTGGAAGCCTTCCCGGGCGAAAAAGTTCGATATAGACAATAGGTTGTTTGTTATACAAAGTACTCTTTAGATGCATTTTTATTTAAATTTTTTGTCTGTTCGATAGCGACAATAATGCGCTTTAAGTGGGTTCCTTATAAGGGGGTTTCACTGTATTTTACCTCGGTCTCCCAAAAGCAGTATCCGTTCGTAAGACAATTCTATTCTCTCAGTATTTTCAAAGCTCAGTCTGATAGCACGAAGAAAGCAATAACTTTATCTGGTGGTACAGGCCTGTTTTTATTGAATTTAAAATTCTGCACAAGGGGGCATTTTTTAACAATTAACATTGCACAACAAATATGAACTTTACAGGACACCAGTCGCATAGAAAAGGTGCTCTCCACTATTTAAGCCGGGCACAGAGCTCGGCACCGGTTCGCTGGTTGTGGGCGTTCCAAGATATTCGGCGTGTACTTTCGGGAGCCATTCACGATAAATCAGTCTCTTGCTTGGCGGAAGAGTATCTTACATTACATTTGGCTGACTGGTTCTTGTAATAATTTGCCGAGTTTTGCAGGATAATGCCTTCCCATAATCCTAATATTCGATATGAAAACAAAACGTGCATTCGCTTTAGCTGAAAGTGATTTCCTTCTTGCTCAGTTTGAGTATAAAAAGGATTTCTTTTAAGAATAGAGATATTGAAGTCATTTAAAAAATGTCACAATAATCTATTTTGATGATTTATTACAATGGGAACCTATCGCAAACTCTCCTACTAACTGGACTTTTAAGGGTATTTAACTCACAATAACCAACTGATTCAGATATAAAACAAGAATACGCAAAGCGACTGGCCTGCCTTCTTAATAAAAAAAAGTAGACATCACTATGATCAAGGGTAGACATCGACACGCCGTAATAGTGCTAATTTTGAAAAAGGCAGTTAATATTTTAGTAACTATGACGGTTGTTGTATAGCTTTCAATGAACTGGGTAAAAACAAAGGTACACTGATAAAATTTTTATATAGGCACAAAATTAGCTACATATTGTAGTGACTTCACGTAATTTACGAGCAGTTTGAGGTACTTATCACGACCCGTCACAAGTTTTTTGATGGATTCTTCAAAGAAGGTTGCCGTCTAGACCCTCAGTGCTTCCTTCTATCACGCGTCAACTAGACCGTTTGTCTCCAGAGACTTGCAATGTATTTAAACACAATTGAAGTAATGGGGAGGACGAACCGATGACCGCGATGAGTACCAGGAAAAAACGTCTGTGTCGACTGATGATCTTGTTTACGCGTGATGGAATGACTGAGAGCCCAGGTGGTAAGCTCCTTTGTAGAAAGCATTCAAAAGCTTGTTCAGTGACACGATAATCGCCTAAATCTGCTCAGTGATTAAGGGAAAATTAGCTAGAATATAAACGGTCCGTGTAAAAATATGTTCTTACTCGTCGTTTTATACTTGTCGTTTTAAAAGAGTAGTCGTATTACAGCTGAATAGGCCAAGAAGACGTGACCTAGCTCTGGGCAACGTGCACAGAAAGAACAATCAAGGGCCAGCAGGTTGCTGTTACAGCGAAAAGTGGCGCGAATCACCTTCATGGTCACCACACTTTCTTTCCATCAATAACATAAATAAATGAAGAGGGTAACGGCTTTCTTTCCAGGATGACCATGGTACCGGCTTAACGCTGAATTCGATTGACTTGATCGGTAGAGCGATTATCATACGTACTCTTAGCAAACTGCAAAAAGGGAGAACTTAATTATGCCTTTCAAAGCAGCCAATACCATCGGTAGCCTGCTGATAATTATCCCTCATCATGGTCGTTCCCCACAAATAGCTGCTCTATAAACTTTTCGTTGCATTGTAAAGAAAGACCTCGGCACAGTGTTCGGGATCAGATAAGTTCCTTTTTGAAACCGGATATGACCTATTTGTCAGACGAGTCACCAGTAGAAACTTGTTGCGGACCACTTCAATTATTATCGAAGTGTATCAGCTAGTTGGAAGTATAATAATAAATCCGAAAAGTGAAGCAATTATTTGGACAAAAAGGACTCTAGTCTCCTCATCATTTGCTTTTGATTTTTCTTAGTTTATTCATCGCCTCATGGACGCTCCCTGAATTATATTTGTTTAATCATATGGGCTTCTTTGGGAACTAACTGATATAACCTAGCGTGACTGAGAACACATCACCAAAATGCGTAACAGCTTACTTGATAGATTCACAGCTACAGTTTAACTCAATTAGTGGCCTTTCCATATTAATCAATTCGAAAGAACTTGAAAAAAAATCGGTACTTACTCCAACCATTGGGAGGGTGACGGACTTCGTGCTCGAAAATCTGGAAGGCTTATTCATCTGTATGCTGCAACAGATTTTATACGGATGCGACAGGAGAGGATGAGAGTATGTTTAATCGGCCATTCTTTTCGGTCGAGGAGGAATGCTTAGCGGCTCAAAAGGAAACTGAAACAAATTGCATTACAATGACGACCGAGACAGCACGCTCTCGGCAGGAGTCAAGGTCGATGGCGGCTTAATGTATATCCTTTTAACGATGCTACATCTAGCAGGCCAGGGAGAGGATCCTGCTCACTATGCTGTTTTTTGCGCAAAAATATATATAATAAGCTTTAACGAAGCTACATCTAGCAAGCGAAGCCAGGTTCAAAACTAACTGAAACGAAATCTTTTCATAATATCAGACAGAACGTAAAACCTTTCTTGAAATTATGCTCGAGTAAAAAGTGTGTTTGTGTGCGAAAATATCTCTTAATTGAAACGTGTAACATACATAGTAACGTGTATAAATTTTCAATGGTTGGAAGGATTATTTTCTGTCGTATAACCCCATTTCTCTACTCTTTAATTGTACAATATCAATCGCATGATAAATTGCGTTTGAGCTAAATAAGTCCACTAGTCGTACAAATGGTTCTTAATTATATATTTTTTTTCTTGCCTTTTATTTTTGTTTAGTGCAGGGCGAGTTCCTGTTCGAGGCGACGCAGTCTAGTTGATGTAGTTAGCCAATTGATGATTGAAAGGCATAAACTTTAGTGAATTGGTGAAGCACGGCGAATGAAAACAAACCTTAAAAGGCAAGGGGAAAGTTGAAGTATCGTAGGCACCCGGCGCTGACTTACACCTAAGATTAACAGAAAAAACATACAAGCCGGCGAAAACAAAAACAACTACTACACCGAAGTTAGCTATTAACTTCACACTGACTTAGATATGATATCTGGCTTTCATACAATGCGATTGATGGGGAACTGATTCACGTGCCCTCCTCCATCTTTGCGATGTATAACTGGTCTGGTAAAAGCGAGCGAGTTGAAAATCAATACTTAGAATCGAAATAATAAAAACTTGGAGGTCAAGCGAAGGACAACTACGTTATTTCATTTAGCAACAACGTTTATTTTGGGCAGAAGAGCACCATGAACGAGATCCCAACAAAGATAGGGTGGTAAAGGGGAAGAAAAGGGCGGAGGACACTGCGAGGGATGGGCAGAATGGCAGTGACGGTCTAGTTTTTACGTGAAGTTGCGATAGTTTTCAAGTTCTGGCCTGATGAACTCTGCCCGTGCCTCGTGGTTTCGTGCTCCCCCTATCCTTTTCACCAATTTTCCTTCCCTCTTATCACCCTATCTTTGTTGGAATCTCGTACAGGGTGCAATTTTCCTGCCCAAAATAAACGTTTTTGTTAAATGAAAGAACGTGGTTGTCCTGTGCTTGTGCTCCGCGTTTTTATTCTTTCGATTTTCAGTAAGATATAGAACACACTGGAGGCTTTTTTTTGTTCATTGATTGCCGTGTCGCGCAATAACTTCTGTGTCAGAAAACTGTGGGACACCTGCACTGTCGCAATAAATCGTCAAGTGTCCATGATTTAATGACCGAACGACTAATGCGTCTTGCCTTAACCCATCATTAACAATCGTACCAAACTGTCCAATGTGCACTTCGCAACACGACAAAGATGTTACACACCACCTCTAAATGCATTGCTTTCTATCTACTGGTGAAGCAATCGTGCGCAATTGAGTAGTTGTGGCACAGGTGAAATATAACTCCCGTAAATTGATTTTTCCGTTCACTTTAATTATTGCAGATATCGCTTTCAGTCTAGTGGTTGCCTAGATTTAGATAATAAGCATGACTTAAGGTGGCGATGCAGGCGAGTTGGTTCATGGCTTAAAGGGGCGATGCCACAATTTTTGTACTTTGCGCAAATATCGCTTAGAACGGATCCCGTGACGTTAATGACCTATGAAACACGCGCTCGTTTTTCACCCCACGTAACAGAAGCCCCCCCCCCCCCCCCCCAAAAAAAAAATAATAAAGAAAAACGAGCAGCATTCACCCGCTCAACTCGCAGCACGGTGACTCGCAGCCAGAACAAGCGGCCATGTGATCTGCAGCCGATTATATGCCGCCAATGCTGATCATAGCCACTCGCCGGTGTTGGCAAAGCACAGGACACGCGCTGAGTTCCCGACATTGTTATGGCTCGGCTATTGTCGTCGTTGCAGCGATTGGATACGGGCCACTACCCGAATGCTTCTCGAGCTAGTAATTATTGCGAGCCCAAATCGAGTGCCCACGCAATGCTCGGGTTCAATCTATGAACCGCATTCAAATATCGTCATTGGGGTGTACTGCGATCCCCACGTTACGTCATCAAGTTTCGCAAAGGAATGATTGAATGAAAATGATCGTTTTTGTCTTTGAAATAACACCACAACAAAGGAGTTCCTTGGCCAGTGGCGTTGCGTGCGAGTATCCTTGAGTCCCACTAGCGCCAGTAAGCTCTGCTCGTCTACAGCGTGTGACTCGTCGCAACTTTAATGGCTAACCAACTATATTCCGTTTCACCTTATGTTGTACCGCAGCGAAGGCTAGATGCTCGAGCTCGTAGGCTTGGCTGCTGCCCTTAATGCACGAGAGCTTGTGCCGCTGAGATGTGCCCAAAGCAAGGAGCTCGCGCTTGTAGCCTTTCCTGCGGTACATCATAAGGTGAAACAGAGCAAACACGCTGTATAAATATTCCCATAACCCAATTTGCTTTTTTTTTTTGCCAGTAAGCTCGCGTAAAGTGAAAAACATTCCAATTGATTATCGTTGCACCGCTCCTTTAAAGGGATACTGAACCAAGGAATTTAGTGTCCATAATAAGTGGCGCACGTTCTTTCCACGAGCCAGCAGCCGCCGGTGTGCGCGAGCACACGCAAACAAAATGACGTCAGAGACCTCCATTCGCGGTTAAGATGACAGTGAAATGTATGGGCTTCAGGCCAAAGGAGAATCAAGACAAGTTTTTCATCTACACAGTGGTGTCTGGTGTAAAAGGTAAGCGATTAATTGGTGTAACAAAGATGTAGCTTTCACTTGTGGAGATGAAAAGCCTGTCTTTATTCTCCTTTGGCCCGAAGCCCATGCATTTCACTGTCCTCTTAAGCGCGAATGGAGGTATTTGACGTAATTTTCGTTGCGTGTGCTCGCGCACACCGGTGGCTGCTGGCTCGTGGAAAGAACGTGCGCCACTTATTGTGGGCACTCAAATCTTTGGTTCAGTATCCCTTTAAAAAATTGGAAACAGCGCGCAAAGAAGACGAGGACAACGAGAGTAGAGCACAGGATAAGCGCTGGCGCAAGAAAGACGAGGACAACGAGAGTAGAGCAAAGGACAAGCTCTGGCGCAAAAAAAGACGAGGACAACGAGAGTAGAGCACAGGACAAGCGCTGGCGCAAAAAAGACGAGGACAACGAGAGTAGAGCACAGGACAATTCGCTGGCGCAAAAAGGCCAAGGACAGCGAGAGTAGAGCACAGGGCAAGCGCTGGCGCAAAAAGACGAGGACAACGAGAGTAGAGCACAGGATAAGCGCTGGCGCAAAAAGACGAGGACAATGAGAGTAGAGCACAGGATAAGCGCTGGCGCAAAAAAGACGAGGGCAACGAGAGTAGAGCGCAGGACAAGCGCTGGCGCAAAAAAGCCAAGGACAACGAGAGTAGAGCACAGGACAAGCGCTGGCGCAAAAAAGCCAAGGACAACGAGCGTAGAACACAGGACAAGCGCTTGTCCTGTGCTCTACTCTCGTTGTCCTCGTCTTTTTCGCGCGCTGTTCCCAATTTCATAAGCATGACGTTCCAGACAGGTTCAAAATACAAAAGAGGCCGAAATACGTTTGCTCGATGCACGTTTTGGGTGTCGCGATTTCGAACGTGTATCCGAAAACACAACGCCGACACGCTGGCGCCCATTGCTGACGGCTTTGGTGCTGCCGTAAAGTGGCCGCAGTTGTAACTACCCATTATGATTTTGAATTCTCGGAAACTACACACTTCGGGAAACTTGGTGTAATTTTTCCAGCTTTTGTAGAACCTCCCAGCTAGCGAGGTAACGGTAATGACTAGTTTTGTGGCTATGTCCCTGCAATAAATTTCCAGAGCACGCCTCTCTCTGAGTATTGCATTGGTTCAGCATTCGCAATTATCTGGAAAGGCCGAGATGTCAACTTTGTGAAAAAGCGCGGCTATTATTTTAGTGCTGACAGCACATGATAGGCCGCAATTCTAATTGAAGCCGATTGCCTCTGGCCAACGGACATTTTTGGGTCGGTTGACGAAGATGCGTTAGGAATTTTCCCTTCAAAACTACCGCCCACCTCTGTGTTGTAAATTAGTCTTTTCCCGAGAACCCCGTGGCGTTTTTGCGCTTTTTAATAATGATGGAATTGTGAAGAGTGGGTATTTGCACGCACCATTTATGGCAACTGGGTTAGCGTCAATTTCACCATATTTTTTGCTTTATAGCTTCAAAACCACACAAATATTGCAGTATGTTTTTGCGGACTTGCGAGTACATATTATAAACGTTAATTTCGGAGGGTTTAAAAATATCAAAGACGGCCCTTTTTACAGCGGAACTGTTAAGGGCTGGTTTCCCCAGGATCATGTCTGGAACCAAACAAATGTCCACCCGTGTGGTCGACACAACACTGGTTGCCGCCGTCGCTCATAGATGGCGGTAGCTGTCCAAAGTGTTGTGTATGCCAGTTGTCTGTTCGCCGCCGTCGCTCATAGATTGATCGGGGCAACCTTTCCAGCCTCGGCAACGTGGCATGTGGTTGCTGCCGTCGCTCTTAGATGGCAACTACATTTTTTTCGGAGGAAGAAGAGCGGGAACAGAGCGAGTGGCGATATGCGTAGCAGCGCGAATGGTTCTGGTACCGCCGCGAGGCCGCTATCGCCTAAAGTTCCACCTCATTGAGCGCACCAGATTCCCTTGCGAAGGAAGAGCAGATCGCTCGCCTGGAAAGCCGCCGCCGAGAACAGAAGCTACAGCTCCGCTGCTCTCCCCTCTTCAGCAGAGTGGAGAGGCTAAATTTTTTTTTTACTGATTAAAAAAAAAAAATGCATATTTAGCAAATGGCTTCTGTGCGAGCAGTTCTTGTAAATTTCTGTCGCTACCCAGGAAAACAATATTTCAGGCACAGATGAACTATATAAAGAAAAACACACTGGCAAAGTTTAAAAACCTAAGCTTTTATAGTTACGTAGAAAACAAATATTGAATGCTGAGTGTGATTGCGCAACGTTCTGTATTTACGATTTTGTTTCTCAAAATAATGACCCTAATAGTCGGTGATTAGTAATTTTTGCCAATCCTTCCTCTGACTAATTTTTCAACAAATATTTCTAGACCCGTAGCCAGAACAGTTTTTTTTGGGGGGAAGCTGACTGAAATCCTAACATCGCGCGATACGCAAAACGCGCACGTGACTGAGAGGGTGTTTACAAATATTTTTCGTCAAGACAATTTTTCTTTGCAAAACGTTTTTTTTTCTTCTGGTCATGTTGCCTGCAAAATAAATGTATTTCATCAAAATTAAAAAAAAATAATCACCGAACATGGTTTTTCGATCTTATCTGAAAAATCTTTTTATATCAAAGGGTGGTGACAGGCTACCTGCGAAGGTAGCCTTCAGATGTATTAATTAAAGCGTAGTGTCTTGTCATTGATACAAAGTGAAAATTGTGGCTTTTGCGCATATAAGAACAGAAGCGGATACAACAATGAACGTCTAGCCCAATGTTATTTGGTGCCTCTAAATACACCTAACAAAGATATGAGGCGATATTTTCTTGTTCAAAAAGAAAACCCAATCCAAGGACATTCCTAACCGTTTCAGCGATAAAACTTTCGCTTTACTAATTTATTTATCTATCAAAGCAAATATAATAAGTGTGTTTGATGTTATGGACTTAGTGACTTCCTCAACACAATTCCATTGTGCGACCTCGAAGAAGAATTTAGTTTAGATAGGCATTACCCAAAAAGCACCAGAGTTAAGGTTTCCAACTGACGGCCTGTTAGAAATTTTCATTCAGCTGCCTGGCTACGACAAAATAACCTAAGCAGACCTATTCAAATGTGTAAAAACCTGTGCTAAAAAACTGAAAAAAATTTAATTTTTTTTACTCCACTTTGTTTCATCACACACTATTTCTGCTGACATAAAACACACAACTATCTCCTTGCAAAATGTTAAACTGATTAAAGGGTTCAAGATGAATGCCACACACAGAAACAAAATATGGGATGAAACTTCAAGTATCAAGTTTATTTAACGATAACTGGAGTTTATTGCAGACTTCGTGGACTCGGCTAAACTTCCTCCGCTGCCATACGTTGCCATCAATTTTCTGAAAAACAAAAAACAAAAAAACAAATACAGCAAAAAGAGTGATTTAAGATGTGAACCTAGCTATTACTTTTATTATATCAAGCTATATTTTACGGAATAAACGAACAAAAAAAAATAATAGGCGTGCAATTAGAGGAACTCGAAGGTTTATGCTTAGCATTTATGCATGAAACGAGTTTACATTTGTGTCAGCATCACGAGGTGAAAAACAGCGTATTTTACTTACATTTCTTCTTGCGGAGGAGGGTGGCATAGTCGCCGTAGGTGCCGAGTCCGTAGCCGTAGTTAAGACCATAGGTGCCAAGCCCGTGACCGTAGCCGTAGTTGCCGACACCATAGCCCAGACTGCCGACCCCGAAGCCGTACACGGGAGCGGCGTGGCCGTAGGTCGCGAGAGCTGGAGCAGCATGGTAGGTGGCTACGGCTGGAGCGGTATGGTAGGTGACGGTGCGGGCGACGGGGGCGGCAGCGAGAATTGGAGCAGCAGCCACAGTGGCGACTGGGGCAGCCGCAACGGCGGCAACGGCTGGAGCGACTTCATATGTTGCGACCCTAGTCACAACTGGGGCGGCAGCAACCAGAGGAGCAGCTGCTACCGTAGCAACTGGAGCAGCGGAGAAGGCTACTGCTGGAGCTGCAGCAACATGGGCGACTGGAGCACTAACCACGACGCTAGCCGGAGCTGCGACAGAGTATCCGGCCAGCCCAGAAGAGTGAACGACGCCACCACCGTGGGTGAGCCCGCAGAAGACAGGGCTGGCCAGGGCCAGGAGAAGGAAGGCGCGAAGCTGGATGCATTAGCAATGCTCGTGGTTAGAAACAATGAACTAAAACAAGTTGGATAGAGTATCTTGTGCCTTTTAAAACATGGACGGGTCAATATATTGCAAGTAAATTGCGGTGTGCATGCAAAACGTTCTTCACATGCGAATTATGTTGAGATAGGATATTTTATCCTAGCAAAGTTTATTACAAAAACTTATTCCAATGAGACTGATGCAGGTGGAGTCATTCAGTCGGGCAGATATTAGAAGATAGCATACTAGCCACACACTGTTCGACAATGAACTGAGGTTTTTTCAATTACTTTTGATTTAACGGTGGATTGATAATGTTGCTGTTGTAGAATTTGTGGCACTGATTCCGAATCTCATGCATAAATATCTCCAAAAACCATGTCAACAGATATGCGCAGCAAAATTAGGAATTTTTTAATTGGCACCTCGGCAATATTTTGGCAGTGTGGCGTCCGTTTCTCCTTAGCTTCCATTATGACTAGGGCTCCGTGTTTTCGGAGTTTATGTTTCGTCAAATTTGGAGGGTGTTTTTCGGAGTTTATTGTTTGCCGAAGATTCGGAGTTTATCGGAGTTTATATGTGTTTGATTCACAATTCTCCAAAATTCGGAGTATAATTTCGCAGTGTATCCTAATGAAAATAAATCTGTAAATAATAACCGGATGTTAACGTATGCCAGATAAAAAATAAAACGCGTTTGTATTGATTAAAATTTCTTTAGTTAAATTTGGCGTTCGTGCCATTGCCATTGGCAATATTAATTTGTCCCACGACAAAGTCGCACACAAGTGTTGCTCTGATAAACGTCGATACCTCAAAATCAATAAACTCCCGGAGGTAGTCGCTAGGAAGCTCGTGGTGTTCCCATCCTATTCCATCAATCTAGCCCGTTGCCTGCTCGAGGTGGTGTGGTTAAGGATGTAATAGAGAGTTTCAACTGTTCTTTTCCTCTATTTAATACAATCTTGGTGGTCCATAGCTTCCACTGTAACAAAAACATACCTTCTCCTTTTTCTAAATCACAAATCGCATGGCTCAAACTGGAAACCAAAAGAGTGGCTTTTGTCGTGACCCGAATGTACAATGACCTGTTGCCCTGAATCAACCTCGACGAGACAAGCGGCAAGACACCTTGTTACAACGGTCTGAGATTTGAAAGGTAATTATGGGTCCATTTTCCCAGGAGCATTGACTCAGTGCTGATCAAATTGTAAAAAAAACAAAAAAACAAAGTCTACTTTTTTTTTTAGCCGGGGGGGGGGGGGGGGGGGTGTCATTGGCGCACAAACATTCGGAGCTTATCGGAGAAATCCGAATTGGCCAAAATTTTACCGGCGGGTGTTTTTCGGAGGTTTTCGGATTTATACGAAAACACGGAGCCCTAATTATGACTCATTAAAATTGCGACTGGAACATTATTCACCGTACCTTAGGACAAAGTGCATCTAAAGGATATACACTTAATAAACTTATTGCACTCAATATTTCTGTCTCAATCTATCTCTGTCATCTCGTATACCTACCTGTAAAGTAGCTTTTAGGCCTCTTCTAAAGAAAACATATATAGAGAGTAAGAAGAACACTTTCTATAATTGGGTATATTTACAAGCAGAACGTCACTTCTCACAGTAAGTTATACACCCAAATTTTATGTTTATGCAGGCTTCTCTGCTGAGTACTACAAGGCGTTTTGTGCTTTTTTAGCTTCTATTTTTAGGCACATAACTTAAAAATAATATGACCATCAATCCGAACATACGTGTTTCAATAAACAAAAACAAAATGGTATTCATCAACAAAGTTTCATGTCCACTGATTTATGGTGAGGTTTTATTACTATACCACCAAAAATATCACATTATTGAAACTTAATACCAAAAAATATATCTGAAAGATAGCACTCAAGTGTACACTGTTGTGTCTGCAAGCTGATCCTGGCTGCTAGTGCAGGAGGACGAGGAAGGAGGAATACGAACGGAGCACGAGATGGAGCAGTTGGTTTTTCCGTCCTGCCTTACCTAGTCGCTCGTATTAAAAACACAACATACACATGATGGAGTTGCAGCCAGGTGGCGGCTAGCGGCGGTAAAACCAGCACAAAAAAAAAACCAAAACGTAAAAAGGTTTTGTTTCGTTTTGTTTATTGGACATGCTTACTTTCGTAGTTATATTTCAAGGTGTTTGATGAAAGGAATATAAACTAACAAAAATATAGAACTTTGTATCTGCTCTAGATATTGACTGTTGGAGAGGATTACTGGATGCAGCTAAAGAGGGACTAAGATGAAAAAAAAAAGATTATAAATAAACATCTCAATGACTTACCATGGTCTGTTAGTAACTTAAATATTTAGTACTCCTAAATCTGATAATGTGACCATATTTATTATACTGGCATACGTGTACAGTTGGCTACCCAAAATGTAGGGCTATTATTTTGAGCAAATGTTAGTAACACCAAGGTTTGCGGCGGTATCGTTACCTTTTTTTACTTTCTTAAGCAGTGCTGATTCAACGGTAACAAATTATAAAGATCCTGGATTACTATTATTTCAGCGCTCCTAAAGAAACAACAAATACTTTCAGCACTTGAACGAACTTGATGGGGTCATTGATGATTATCTCTTGCACGTTCATCGAAAACGTCCAACCTCATGAAAAATGAAAGAAAAAAAAACAGTTTTACTCACTCCGACCATGGCTAGGTTTGTCCCTCGACTGGAGATCCAACTACTGGTTGGGGAGAGTTTTCAGAACCCTTTTATACTAAATGATATGAGATAAGCGGAATTCATTCGAAATGCAGAACAATACTGCTCAAAACGTGTGGAATAATAACTTGCCTTAACTAGAAATTGCAACCAATTCTGGAATACATAACTACTGTAATCGGTTTTGCAATCTTTATAGACTATACTTATGCAGCTGCATATATCTAGATTAGCATTTTTGTTTCTACTGTCAAACAATCAAAACCTTCGATTTAATAATTCGCCATAAATGTTCTCAAAGCAAGCGTCACACATTTTTTTGTTTTGTTTTTATGGTTGAGGGTAGCTCGACTGAGCTGGCAAGTCTGAGGTGTCTATAAGATATGCTTCTAACGTAAAAAAAAAAAAACATATTCCTTTTTTATTCTTATATTGCGAAAGACCCAATCGAGTGGTGGCTTGTACTTTAAAGGGTTTTTTGCGTGTCTTTAATGATGGCACATGGCAGCATATATAATTATATCCATACAAGACATTAGCTAGAACTGTTTAGTGTCTAAAATACGTTTTCGAAATCTTTATATCAGGTACAATTTTTAACAGCGGAGTGAGACCGTTGCCGAAACCGTATACTCAGTATATTTTATATAGACAGAGCGTTATATTCAGTCTTGTTTATAGAGACGGGCGTTTACGTGAATACATATCGGGTTCCTTTGAAGGTGTGAGAAAAACTAAGCAGACCAAAAACACTCGTAAAATATTTAAAAACTATATATGAAAGTAGAAGAATCAAAAGAAAGCTTTGTGAGATGTGATATACAGGAATAAACATGCATTTATAACTAATCCAGATATCAACGGTTGAGTCTGAATCAATTGCGACGGCTTGTTGGAGTCGAGAGAGTTGGGTCATTCATTCGGCGACAATTTTTCAAACACTCCCTCTCCTCCTCCTCTCCGTCCTCCTACCCCTCTTCCTCCTCCTTCCCTCGCGTTGCATCATGGGAAATGCCCCATAATGCATCGCGCGGGACCCTCGTGGCGTCACTTGTGACGTCACAAGGGTCCTGTGCGGTGTATTATGGGACATTTCCCATAATGCACCGCGCGGTAACGGCGACGGCGACGGCAACGGCGACGCCGCTTATGCCGGAAACAGCCGCCTAAGGGCAGCGCTCTAAAATAAAATTTAAGAGTTTAATGGCCTCATACATATATTTAATCCTGATTTTATTTTGTAACTGAATCATGGTTAGATGAGACAATTCTGAATTTTGAAATCCCCTCCCCCTACGTATGTTGTGTACAGAGAGGACAGGAATTGCCATGGTGGTGGTGTGCTTTTATTGGTTAACAGGTCATTGAACAGCATGGTAAGTGATGCGGACACTAAGCACGTTGAATCAGTGTAGTGTCGCATACGCGCTCCTAACATAAGTGAAATGGTTGTTCGTGTGTCTTACCGCCTTCCCTGTTCCACTGCCGAAACATTTTCTGATTTGAACAATATTTTATATGACCTACCTCACAAACATATTTTAATTGCCGAAGATTTTAATCTGCTGGAATCGAAATGGGCAGGTGACCACGATACAGTACTATCTGGTCTTGCATATTCTGACTTTGAAGATATTTTAAATATTTAGATAGCGCACCTAACCTAAGCAATCAAGCTCTGCTTGTTGCACGAATAAAAAAATACCTCCGGCTTTGAATAATTTGTTTGTCAACCAACAAGATGCGAACACATTCTTGATCTAATTTTGTGCAACGGTGATATTCTTCATGGTGTGTCTATCTTCCCACAAATTAGTGATCACAGCATAGTCACAGCTAGTTTAAAAATCCATCTTTTTCGCGCACGGAAAAGTGTCCGAAAAGTATCCATATATGACAAAAAAATTATTGTCATAGGAAATGAATTGTTTGAATATTTAGTTGATTTTACTATATCATCCTTGGGGAGCTGTGTGGATGCCTTATGGTTTGCTTTTCATAAATGTTTGTCAGGTCAAATTAAAAAATATGTTCGAGCCAAATATATATCTGAAAATACTAACGCTGATAAGCCTTGGATAACGTATGCTGCTCAAAGAGTGATAAATCAACGAAGGCACAACGGAAGTACTAAATGCATTCATCTGTATATGCTGCGTCAAAACTTGAGAAGCTGAATAATGCTTATAGAGATGTTGTCACCTTGAAAAAACGGGAATACTGTGACAAACTTTCAAATGAAATACGGTCAAATAGCAAAGAGATTTTGGGCCTACCTTCTAAAACCTTGTAATAAAGGTGTTGAAATCCCGGTTATTTTATTGATGGTTAGATTATTTAGATACTCATTGTAAAGTTAACTGGTTCAATAAATATTTTCAGTATATTGTCCCCCCTCACAAGATGCGTTAACCCCCCCCCTCCTCAGTGATGAAATAGAGCCTCCTATGCCACCTGTTGTCATAAATATAGAAGGCATCGAAAAAATGTTTCGAGGACCTAGCTGTAAAAAAAAAACAAAAAAAAAAACGCGAGCCCAGATGGTTTGTTGCCAAAAAGTGCTGAAATCGTGCTCATCCGCCTTTTCCCGCTTCCTTCACATAGTCTTTTCAAAGTCTCTAGAGGAAGGTGTACTTCCAAGCATATGGAAAAGGACATTTGTTATGCCAACCCACAAGCAAGGAGCAAGAAAAATGTTGAAAACTATCGCCCCATTTTTCTTAGTTGTTTATGTTGCAAGGTTTTAGAACACATTATGCATAGTAATGTTGTAACACATCTACATACTAACTTTTTATTCTCCAGCTCAGCATGGTTTTCGTGTTTTCCGTGCGCTACTCAGCTTGTTTAAATTTACTATGATCTTGTTACAACAGTTTAGAATGGAAGTGGAAAGCATGCTATTTTCCTTGACTTCCGGAAGGCTTTTGATTTTGTGTCTACCCCTTGTTGTTGTATAAGCTGAGCTCTTTGAGCCTTGATAACAACGGCTACCGATGGATAGAAAATTATCTTTTTTCTGAGAAAGCAGTGTGTATTCATGACCGGTGCAAAATTTGAATTTGTTGCTGTGACATCTGGCGTTCCGCAGGGGTCAGTCTTTGGGGCGTCTTTGTTCCTTGTTTTTATAAATGACATAGCTGTAGGGATTGACTCGACTGTGAGGCTGTTCGCAGATGATTGTGTGTTATATCACTTAGTAGAACATTCCCTTCATTCTGCTCTCTTACAATCTGATTTAGATAAAATATCCAGTAGGTGCTGGACGTGGGGATTAAGTCCCAATGCTGACGAGTGTCCACGTCACTTTCGGGAATAAAAAACGCGACAGCATGTTGTCATGTTTTCCTATGAATTATCGACATCTAGACAGAAACGTGGATGTGAAGTATCTTGGAGTAATGTCATCAAGATATCTTTCGTTTAAAGCTAACATAAAAAAATCTATAAAACAGTCTGGTAGAATGTGAAATTTTATTAACCAAACCGCACGCAGTGCTCCAAAAGAGCTAAAAGAAAGTGTTTACTGCTGCTTGGTGAGATTGACGCTTGAATTTTCATCTGTTCTGTGAGACCCGCACCGAGCGTACCTTGCCACTAAAACAGAAAAAAAAAATCAAAACCGTGCTGCAAGGTTTGTATCGGGATCGTACACTAGAATAACCAGCGTGACAGAAATTAAACGTGAGATTGGTTGGCAACTATTGGATTCAACACGAAAGAAATTTAGTCAAAAGTTTTTATTTTCTGTTATAGTATTTTAAATAGAATTTATAAATATAAATATCTTGAATTACCAAACTGCTTTTCAACCCGAAGAGATCACAGTAATAAGACCAAAAAATATTTTGTCAAACTGATTGAAAAAAAATGTAAATTTTTTTTTCTAGTATTATAACGAATTATAATTCATTGTTTGCATCGCCATTCACTACAGAGGACGTAGTATATTTTTTTTCAGTATACTAAAATTTTAACTGACTAAAGTTTGTGTTTTATTTAACAGCATACATTGCATTTCGAAATTGCTTTTATGTTCGTGATCAAGTGTTTCTTTTGTGATTCTTCAATCAAAGACTCTGAAATATTTCCGTGTGATTATCGGGTTCATAGGAAAGATAGAAATGCTCGTGGAGGAGGGGTATTTATCATGGTCAAAGAATTGTTCCACAGTGTAGAGATTGATATTCATTGTAACGACGTAGAATCCGTATGGTGTAGATTAAGCACTCCGGAAATGGGCACGATGGCATTGGGTTCCTCTTATCGTCCTCCGGGAGCCAGCGTTGAGGCTATCAGGTCATTAGATTCTATCTTGTCCACACTTCCTGACGATCGTTTTATATTGGCTGGAGATTTTAATTTGCCTGATTTAAAATGGGACGGGAACACACCGTCCGGTGGCGTTTCTTCGGCATTTAATGATGTAATCAGTACGTATGGCCTTAAGCAGTATGTCTCGACTGCTACTAGAGGTGCCAATATTCTAGATCTAATACTATGCAATGACCCAAATGTGGTTCGATGTGTGAGTGTCCTACCGGGAATAAGCGACCATCACATAGTTACTGCTAAGTTTATCCTGCCGCAATTAGTCCCTGCCAGCTACGATGTTAAAAAAGTGTACATCTACGGTAAGGCCAATTACAATGAAATTATAAATGATCTAGAGGACGAACTAAATATGTTAATGTCAAAATCATTGACTTATGATGCCAACTCACTGTGGACTGACTTCAGAAATCTGCTGTCAAAGCTTCTCGATAAGCACATTCCTTGTAAATATGTAAAGGACAAACCAAAACCCGACAAACCTTGGATGGATTATAAAGTAAAACAAGTAGTTAGAAAACGCTCACGTATGTATTCCAAGGATAAAAAAAATCCTACTGCCAATCTTGAGTACCGTCTAAAAGAGCTGGATATAGTTTATGGGAGCACCATAAGTACGGCCAAGGAGGATTATTTCTCTGGACTGGCAAAGGCTATCAACATAAATTCGAAAGCCTTTTGGAGTTACC